CCCCCCCCCCCCCCCCCCCCGCCCTGCACCAGCTGCTTCCCCACCTCCTGTCCCAAAGGACTCCACCCCAAACGCCAGCCGCTTTATTCTGAGGGTGGCGGACCGGGACACTGTAAAAACAAAAACTGCACACACCCTCTGAACCATCTGTAATACCATGGCACACTTTGCCCCCCCGTCATCATCCCCACCTTCATCCGGCCACACCCCTCTTTTGAGCAGCCCCCCTTGTAGCACCTGCTCCCTGTCGCCTTTCCTATTCCCACCCAGTCTATGTTCCCTCCTCCCCATCTCCGTCTCCCCTGTCATAAGCCAGATCGGGGCTGCTCTGCTCAGTCTGTGCCTCCTCACTGTTGGTGTAAAAGTCTGCTGGATTCAGTCGTACTCTCCCTCTGAACTGGCTTCACCTCCCGGCTCTCTGCTGACGTTTATCCCTTCTGGTCCTTTTTTCTTTCCCCCGGTCGCCTTCACGAGAGGTAGCTATGGTGTTTCCATTCAAATCGTTCAATATGGGGTTTCTTGCTTTCTTTGTTTGGCCTCTGAACAGGCACCCGGCTTCATTACCCTGAGACACGCCGTCTACTTTCACTTTTTCTGCCTGTTTTTGTTGATTTCCGTTAGATTAGGATGTTTTCTCTGCAGCTGAATGAGGCCTTTCAGCCGACACGGCTGCAGAAGTGCTTGTAATGAAAACAGCCTCTCAAAGGCCTCTTAGTGGGCTAACTTTATCAGTGGCTCCTTTGAACGGTGTCGTTTCACTTTGAATAATATTATTGAGTGGCTTGGGTATATTCCCTTGTTTAAAATATATTAAGTCATGACGTGGTTCCCTTCCTCTTCTGTCTTTGTTGTGCATAATGTAAGAACATCCTATTGTTTTAGGTGAACTGTGTGTGAGGCGGGTTCAGGGACAGGGTGGGGTTATTACGGCAAGTCAGTCTGTAAGAGAGCTTTAATGGTATCAGGATTAGCGGCAGATTCTTTGTCTAGCCCACTGATCAGCCTCCTGAGACCCAGCCTGGTCACGCATGGCCCGGCTGCTTGTTTACATCCCTCCCCCCCAACACACACCCACACGCATGCAAACCAGTCAGACACCCCCTGTCCTACAAAGCTTCACCTCCAGTTTCTGGAAGATAATCCACCCTCGGGGATAGATCCATTATTATGATGACGGCTGTTTCTTTTGTTGTGATCTCACTCTGTTCTACAGGGCCAGATGCACTCTGAATCATAATTGAACACGCATGAACGCTCTGAGTCGCCGTGTGTTATCATACTTATGAATTATTTAGGACTGCGTGCTTGTATGTTAAACTCAGACGCTCAGATTTGGCAAAGACTCTCTCTCAGATGACATCGTCTGCGATGGCCTCATGCTCGTACTACTCGCCTGTGTCGGGCTCTTAAGATTATAATATCATAAAGCTTACAGGTGCTATTTAAAATAAATAAATAAATAAATAAATAAATAAAATGGATTCATGTAACAATGCATCAAATGACTACATGTTTGTGTCATAGACTAATCCACAGAGCATATGACTCAGCAGTTCCCCTCGGAGTGTTTTCAATTGTTTTAGTATTTTTTTGTTGCTGGTTTGGTTAACTTTCATGACTCTCAATGTCTGTTGGCTAAAATGCCCTGCACACTACGAGTTGGGCACCAAATCGCAGACGGACACAGTTGGCAACTAGCAGCCTAAGAGCCAGGTATGGTTAATTTGAGCTTTCGCACCGCAAATAAAGACGTCAACCAATCGCATTGTGTGGCACGGGATATATTCAAAATGCACACTTAAGTGTACAAAAATATTAAGCCTTCGAGTTTACCATTACAATATTAATGTTGTTTACAGCTTGTCGTGGTGCCCCAAAAGTGGCCAATAATTAGTAACGGCAGGTTTAAGTTACTGGTTCAGCACTACATTTAGTTTGTCTAATGGTTTTGACTTGAACTAAGCATACATTTCTAATTTTACATATATACACCACATTGTGCAGATGTTGTAACAGGATAAGGCTATTCATGTGTCGTATTGTCGACAAATCCAATGAAATGACGCAAACCAAAAATTTCCTATTACTTCATTTCTTTTGGGGTGTAGTTTAAAACCCGGAGCAACAGTGACTCAGATATCGTCAGTGAGAACTGATGAGCATCGACTTGTCTGAATCATACTTGTTGTTCTTCAGTGTTCCCCTCAACCTCAGCTTTGTTTATTCTTGTGAAATCTTTCCCAACTTTTCCTTGCTGCAGCCTGCAGACACTCTGAGCCTGTCAGGACTCGATGTTCATCGGATGTTTGAGGCCAGAAAACAACCTGGCAGTGATCAGTGGTGGAAATTTACTTCATGTATTTCAGATGAGTCAATCTAGTCTCAATAAGAACAACTTTATCCAGGACTGAAAAACGGTGCTCATTAACAGATTGGGCTTGATAATCCACATCACTACTGGACATAATCACTGGGCTATTATAAAAGGAAGCGGAAAAACGTTGCTGCAGAGAGGTGGTTCAAGATGCAAGAGCTAATTTCATGACGATGAAGTAAAATCTACACGAATCGATGTCTAAACCAAGAGTACAAACATGGTGCAGAGTAAGACCACATACTCTGTGTAATTGGTATTTTTACCTGAGTAAAAGCTACTACCACCTCGGGCACTGACTCTGTAGTAAACGCAGAAGAGGAAAACTACATCTTAGTAGGCATTTTAGGGGTGAATCTCTAGAACAGGTTTCTGGACCTTCGATGTTTCTCACACACTGAAGCCTAAACGTGTAGAAGCCCAATCTGACCTGCTGTGTAATCGGTACGTGTCCTTATGTTGGCATGACTGTTGGTGGGAGTAGTTTGACTGCTGCTGGAGAGTTGAGACTTGAGTGTGACTTCACCAGATTAAAGCTCTTTTTTTTATTTCTTTTTGGAGGGGGGCTGCAATATATTTAAGGCATGTACTCTTTAATTGAATTATCAGTTTCTTTAGAGACTGACCAGGCACACAACCATGAGCCAAATCAAGTTGAAGAAGATGATCCTGGTTAAATTCTTATATTTTTATTTTCAGGTTTATTAATGGCAAAAAATGTATTGTAAAATCACGACCGACAAATGATCAGTTTAATTTGTTTTCTGGCCGGCGGTTGTTGACAGACTGTCTGAGGCTCCGTCTCTTTGAGCTCATAAGGGGATTAAAGTGGTTTGGACTGAACAAACACACACGCGTTACCTCCGAGTCTCTCGTGTCCTTGCGTTTCTTTCTACACTTTGATCTTCCTGATGGACAGTGTTTCTTCCAGCCCGTTTGGTCGGCTGGCTGAAACATGTGAGCATCAGCAGGCTGTGTGTTTGCAGAAGTCATGCAGTACACTCTGAAGTTTTTTTTTTTTTTTTTTACTGCAGTGTTTATTTTGCAGGTGCCGAAAGAGCAAACGAGCAGAAGAGACGGTGGTAATACTGCCAACATGGACCAGTTACTAGGAGGTACCTTTGTTCTTTTGGTTTTGTAATTTTGGGGATTTTATTTGTGATGAAAAGAAAATTAATTGGAGAGAGATTGGGAACAATATGCAACAAATGTCTCTGATTCATGTACCTCGTTCGAGTACAGGCAATGTCCTTAAATCCTTGGCCACCAGGGTGCCCATTAGTTCTGTACACTTTAAATTGGATCATTTTAACTAAATTATTTCAAACTAAATTGTGGAAAACACTCAGAAACAGCACTTGCTTATAAACGGTACTACCATGTATGCTTACACTGCTACTTGCTAATGGCGTGTGTGTGTGTGTGTGTGTGTGTGTGTGTGTGTGTGTGTATATATGCATCTCCTATCCTCTATTTTTATATTAACTATGTATAATATGAAAGGAGTGTGACTGGTGAACACAGTGGAGCATTTAGCAGCTTAAGAGACGGATATTATTCTCAGGAGTTGGTAGAGACGAGAAACCGAGCTAATAGTTATTAGACTTACATTCATCACGTGAACACAAACGCTTCTCCAAATGGATGACAATGTTGCTCAGTCTGATGGATGTTTAAATGGGCAACTTTTTGCTAATAAGTTTGCTGTGTAAATTTTATACGGTGATAATATATAATTGAGTGATATTTAACTTGTATATCTTTTAAACTCTGCAATACACCAGTGTCTACATTTGTATTTTTGTAATTTCTTGGAGTTGTAATTTCCCTCAAATCTGTACGAGATAAGCTTTTAGGTCATGTAGGTTAACTAACCAAAATTATTGAAATTGTGTCATGAATGTAAAAAATACTAAAATGTCTTTCATCAAATTTGACTAAATAAGAACACAAAATGTTTTGATCCAAAAGATTTCTAAATGTAGAAACGTGAACCAAATATTTCTTAACACACTAAGTATTTTGAACTATGGTCATAAAAGTGAGAATATCTCAAAATGTACAGAGTAAAACGCCGTTTTGATAGTTTTATCTGAAATAGAAATATTTCCCTAGAACCTACATGGTATTTTGGTGCTAGTACGTTTCACACGTAATTTAAAGTATTGACGTCATCACAAGCGAATTAAAGTCTCTAACTGCACAGTTGTTCTTTCGGCTTTTTTGCTGAAAGCAGCTGCATGTAAACGAGATGAATACTTAACAGTGAAGTTAGCGGCCAGAAAATCAAAAGTCCACCGATCACCCTCTGGTGATCCATTGTCTGCATATAAATATCGATAACGGCTGCTTGAAAAACAAATGTTAACGCAAATAGATATGCGTTTTCTTTAAAAACATCCACTGCCCTAATGTTCGCAAATCCTCCATCTGCACGTCTTCCAGCATTGTTGGACTTGTCGGTCACAAAAACAATGTTCTCTACGTTTTGTCCTGCCATCTTCTGGATGGATTACATCCTTTCCAGAAGTGACCGCTGTAGAACCACTGTAATCAGCGGACTGCTTCAGAGAGCGCAGGAAGTCAGACGGAGCCCCCCGTTTCCCTCCACACACTGCACACAACTCCTGACCTCATGGTCCCGTCCACAGCCTGCATGATTAACCAGCAGAGTCTGCACTCAGTCTGAACTGGGATTGGTGGAAACAAATTATATCTGAATAGGAAAATAATTTGTCAAGTGAAGCAGGATATTTCAAACAATCAAAATGCCGTCAAACTTATTTTTTAGCTTGTCAAACCCCAAATGCAGCACAAAGTATTTCTAGTTTGCTCTAAAATGTCAAATGTGTTTTCTAAACGAGTACCAGCTGCTCTGTGTAATGATCTGTGTTTTAAGTTTAATGGTTGCCATCAATATTTTGCAACAGTTTTACATTCTCAGGATTGTGTGTTGTTGTTGTACCAGATGGAAGTCTCGCAGAATCGACTCCCCTCCGGGACAGGATGGCCCTCTACCAAGCTGCCATCTCCAAACAGGAAGTCCCTCCCACCTCAGTAACTGTGAGTACTCGTGTCAATCATCCTCCAAAACGATGCATTTCATCCCTGTAGTTCTAAAAGTCCTGCATTCAAAACATGAAAGGCTCATAGCATATCTAGTGCCTCCACACTGCTCTCAACAGCTGAGCCAGCAGCTCACTGCTAACGGTGCTAGGAGCGCTAAAGGTGTGAAAACAATTGCAACAGTACAGACGGCGCTAACGGGGGTGACCGGAGGGTGGGCACCGCCAGTAGTCGGGATGGCATTATCAGCATTAACTTGTGTCTGACAAGTGAAACACTGAATCTCGAAAGTGCTGCTTCAACTATACACATTCGACTAGCTTTCAAGGTGACTGTTTTGTTCTGTTGTCAAATTTCAATCACCCAAACTCTGGACTGGAGTCGAGGATGAGCGCTTGTCTTGTATAAAGGAGCACTGTGGGTTTAATGTTTTATATTCTGTTACTGAACTTCCCCTCTTGTTTCTGTCAGAATGATCAACTGGACAGTTTCTGTGGGAAGCAGAAGGAAAACGTTCCTCCGTGCACTCTGGACCTGGTGAGGAGTCTGAACTTATTTTTGTGATTTCAAATGAATATAAATGACTTCATATTTCAGACGGGGTGGATGTTTCGCTGCGTCGTTCGTCTGTTAAGCGTTCGACTTTGAAACGATCAACAGTTTGTGTTTGCTCTCTTCACATCATTTCTTTTTCCAGAGTCCAGAGTTTGAACCAAGCAGCAGGAAAGGTTTTACCCCAGAGAGCAATGGTAATTTACTTTCCATGTCTTCATATCATGACTCCAGGTGATAGGAATTCTCTCCCCTAATTACAACTTGGCAATCGGCCCATCATTGGAGGGCATGTTTGGGTGTAGACAAAGGATGGACAACATTTTAAGCACTTAAAGTAAATTGTTCCAATGAATTATTCAGAGATTCATAATTTATTTGTAATAACTGTATCCACTACATACCATTTTTGAGTACTAAAGTATTCAATGCTTTATTTGAGATTCCTGAGCATCTAACATATCAGTCTGTGTAAAAGTCAAGAACTCTGCTTGTATTAAACATGTAAACGGCTCCATCTAGTGTTCAAAAACTTTTTTTTTTGTTTTTTTTTGTTTTTTTTTTACCCCTCATTCTGGTCATGTTGTGCTCCCAACAGGCTCTGCTACTGGTACACCTGTATCCTCCAATCAGAGAGACTCCTCCCAGCCCAAGACTCCCAAAGTGAGTCCTCGCAGGAAACGACCTAAGACACAGAAAGACGCACATTAATGTTTTGCTGCTGTGAATTAATGAATGCTCCTTGTGTGCGTAGAGCTTCTGCCTGCCTGTGAGGGAGACCTGTGTGGCGTGTCTGAAGACCGTCTATCCTCTGGAGAGGCTGGTGGCCAATCAGCACGTTTACCACAGCTCCTGCTTCCGCTGCTCTCACTGCAACACCAAACTGAGGTGAGGACGACACCGACGTAACGATAGTTTCTGAAAGAGACGGAGGGAGTAGACTTCAGAGGGTATTTACTGACTGTTTGCAGACATTTTTTTTTAGGCACTTTGGATCATTTTTTTTTTTTTTTTGTTTAAACTCTTCACACAGTTCTCTTTACCGACATGAAGCCGAGCACAACAGTTGATCCAAAGAAGAAGCAAAAGCAAAACGCTTCTCTCTAATTGAATACATCAATACAACTATCATAAGTAGCTGCTAGAAAGCGCTGATCAATGGGTACAGATAAATAGAGGGATAATGAAAGGTAGTTAAAACTAAAATAAGAATAGAAGAAATACGAGCGTTTTAAAATTCATTAATGCAACCAAAACAAGAACATGTTGTGACTCTAATCATTAACGCAACACTAACAACCAGTTGCATTACAACACATGTAATTATTTTTTTCTAAAGCAGCTTATATTTAGATTTTCATTAATAAACAAGCAAGATGCCATTACAATGAAAGAATGATTTGTCTTGACTGCATGGATTGTTATACCTCACAATGTCCTTTACAGAAATGCTGCTTTATTCTCCTAAGAGTCAAACACTGTACAGAACAGCTCCAGATAGACATGAGACGGTGTTGTATGGCCAATTATTGATTTATATATTTACGGGGTTTTTTTGTGTAGTGCTGCAAAGGTGGTTCCTAAAAATCTAGAAGTCAGTCAGCATTTTTCTACTTCCAGTTCCCTCGTCTCAAAGGATTTCTGGTTGGATGCCTGAAATTAAATCTGTGATTAACTAGCTTGTTTATATTTTCTGCTTGGTTTCATTTTTATTATTTAGTTTGGCGAACTACGCCTCCCTGCACAACAACGTCTACTGCAAGGCGCACTTCTGCCAGCTCTTCAAGGCCAAAGGCAACTACGACGAGGGCTTCGGCCACCGGCCCCATAAAGAGCTGTGGGAGAGCAAAGGGGAGAGCTGTGAGACCTCTCCACAGTCCACCACTCAGACCAAGCCAAAGATCCAGAACCCGGCCTCGGACCTGGACAGCCCCAGTGTGGAGGACTCCCCGCTGGCTAAAGTCAACGTGCTGATGGCCACTATGGAGGCTCTGGGACAGGGATCATCGGAGAAGTCCGACAGACACAGTGAGACCCGAAAGCTGAAAATCTCCTGGCCGCCACGAACGGAGCTGCAGGACACGACCGGCCCCAGTGGAGCCACAACAACCGTAGAGGAGGGGACCCCCGGTAAGCCCGTCCGGGCTAAGTGGCCCCCAGAGGAGGACTCTCTCTCCTCAACCCCAGAGCAGTCCAGAGAGACGCCCTGCCTGCGCCAGACCTCCTCCTTGAAGGAGCGCAGCATGCCCTTCACACTGGCAGGACAAGCTCCTTCTCCTGATCCCAGGAAATGGAGTCCGCCGCCTCCTGTGGACGACGGGCAGCTCAGTCCTGAACCATCCAACATGGAGCTGCAGCATGGCGGCCAGTCCACAGACAGCCAGACACCCACTGAGGATAGCTGCGTGGATGTCCACACCAGCTCTGGAGAGGAGCAGGAGGGGGAGATGAACACAGACAACATGCCAGAACATCATCTCACCAAAGAGGAAGACGACACCCCGGGTGAACAACAACAGGAGGATGAGGAGGAGGAGGAGGAGGAGGACGACGACGACGACGACGACGACGACGACGACGACGAGGAGAGGATGGAGGAGGAAGATGGAGCTGTCATGGAGGAAGAGATGCCGCCTCTGAAACGGGAGGAGACGCCAACGGACATCTCATCTCCTGAAGGTGAGGCGGTGGCCAGCCGGTCGTCTCAGGATGTGGGGTTCTGGGACAGCGAGGAAGTGGAGCAGCAGCAGCAGCAGCAGCAGCAGCAGCAGGAGGAGGTGACGGTGGAGGATTTGATCAAAAGAAACCGATACTATGAGGATGAAGAGGAGGAAGAGGATGCATAGAATGATTGATCAACAAGATGACAACCATGGACACTTGGAGGACCTCTTGCCATTCCTTTTTTTTTTAAAAATCGTTTTCTTCTTCTCTGCTTGATAGTTGCTGCAGTGTCTAGTGTGAACTCTACTGAACTCTGTAATTGTGCCTCTTTTGAACACTTTTTGAAATAGTTTTTACAAGACTGTCACCCTGACATGATTTGTTTTTAAATGTACAAAATTTTAAATTACACCCCATGTAATGAATATCTTTAGCACAGAAATGTCTAATTGTTATGATACAGAATTATTTTTGTGTAATTTTCATTGACTGCCTCCTATATCGAAACAATAACATAATCCTATTTTTATTTCAAGATGTGGGATTATTACAGGCAATGTAAATTCTTAATGGAGTCACTTTTAATAGGAAAGATTAAAGAAGACATGTTAAAGACGTGCCACTCTGTATAAGAAGAGTAAGCCCAGCACTTTGGTCTGTTACCCTTTTGTCAGAATAATGGGGTTGGTTAGTTTTTGAGTATACATCTGTAATCTTTCTCTTCTTTTCAGCTGCCATTCTGTATGTACATGTTAAATTTAAAAAAAACGTGTTCCTTTTTTGCTTTCCGATGTCAAGTTATAACTGGATCTGATGAATGTTGTACTTGTGTTTTTTTTAAACCAGGGGACCAAATATCCTAGATTACCACTGTTTGAATAAATTGTTTTTAAAAAAAAAAACAGTCTGAGTAGCTATTCCTGTGTTAAATCAAGTGCGACTCCAGTATTTGGTTCCTTATTATAAAGTGCCAAGTTGGCTTTATTTGAGTTCAGTCACAGACGTGCTTTGAGCTAACGTAGCACGCTAACCTCTGGTCCCAGGGGCAGTTGCCCACATTGCTACAAACATCTAAGGACATGTTCGACATGTAGCAACACATTCACCCTGCATACACGCATGGCTGATAGAAGCTCTGCTAAAGGCTTATATAACACTTTTCTTACCTAAATTAAGCAAAATTTCAACAAACACCTCAAGCATGCTAAAACTGTACATGTGTGCATAGTACTGCTAACATTAGCAATTCTGCTACTTCATGCTCTGACAAGTGAGACTACAGATTCCAACAGTAATAATCTTTTCACTCAACCAGCAGAAGAGAATAAATATAACTTTATCAAGCCATAACTACAAATTAAGACTTACCTTAGTGGTTTTGGGATTTAAAATCATATCAATTGGCATATAAATTGTGCTAATTGCTACTCAAATGTCACTGGATTACAGTTTTTGGTATTCATGCATGGAGCATTTTACTCTGCCTTCCTCAGCCTTGTATAACACACATGGTTATAAATTGCTTACTTACCGAAAACAGACCAGTGGACAGACGGCAGAGCAGAGCTTCTAACGGAAATCCCCCAAAGTGAGAAGAAAAATCCCCGTCTTCAGAATTTGAATTTCTAGCACGTCTGCCCATGCGCAGACGGGAAAGCGTGTGGATAAATAACTGCAGATGAGAAGAACTGAACAGAAATGTGTATTTAATGTCACTTAGGTTAGGAAGTTGGTCATTCATTTGGTCTATGTACAAAGTCATAACACAAGCAAAGGGCAAACCTTTCATATCATCATGAAGCTGAACCACTATAACCATTGAATTAGTATCAGTAAGTAAATGTTTGATAGTGTGGCGTGACTGTAAGTTAACACTTGATGATAAACATGAAAAAAGTATCTCGCAGTGCAGCCATTTATAAACAGCCGCAGAAACACACACACACACACACGAACCAAGTAGGCCAGAGTGAGATTACACACACCGCCCAGCCCTTCCTGTGCCAGTGAAAGAAAAAAGATGACTATCAGTGACACTGCAAAAAAGAAAGAACTCATTCCCCAACCGAGCAAACAGTGCAAGAGAAAGGATAGAGCAAATGCAATATGCAGGCTGACTAGATGTTGTAGTTTGAGCATTGAGAAGCATTCATAACATGTGAAAACGGTTTATCTCGCCGTCTGGTGGATGAATTGTGGTACTGCACCCATCCTGAAGGCGTTAGACTACAACACGTCAAACAGACCAATGGCAGGGTTTTCCCTTTAGTTTTAGGAAGTTTAGGCGCTATGTTATTTGGAATTTGGTCATATAACAAAGTGTTGGACAAATAAAAAAAATGACCAGAAGGTGGCGCTAGAGGAAAAGTCATAAGGATTCATGGATGTCTGAACCAAATGTCATGGCAATCCATCAAATAGTTATTGAGATATTTCCCGCAGTGATCCAGGAACACACTGAACATATTACTCCCTTCTTTTAAAAGACATCGCAATGATATTTCCTGTTAAATAAAAAGTTGTACAGACCGACAGCTGAACTGAAGACTGAATCAGCGCTGATGTGTTCACTTAACCTGTTGGAAGTAATGAAGTGCCTTTGAATGGTGATACCTCTTATGTTCATTTAAAAAAAAATGTGACAAATTAAAGTCAGAGTCTTTAAATTGAATAATTCTAATCAGTTGAATTGCAATTTTACACCTTTTACATTATTGTCATAAATGTTTGTACAAAACTTCACGACTATCCATCCAATAGTTTATGAGATGTTGGATTAAAGTGGTGGACCGACCAGCCAACACCACCTTCTAATAAGTCATTATACTGGTAATTATAAAATGGGTTGTAAATTGCTATTAATTGATTCATTCATGCTAATAGTGCATTTACTAATGCGTTAGAAATAAATAATATAAGCCATTAATAAGAACAACTTTTGGGGTTGCCAGATTGAGAGAAAACTTCCTGTGGCAGGTTTTTGTCTTTAGGCTCATTAGATCCTCTTATGAGACACTTCATTTATGAAAAAACAAGCATAAAATCTACCACATGTATTAATAATGTATTCATATCTAATCACAGATCAAATTCTAACAGAAAAATGTATTAATAGATTACCAACATTATTACCTACTGAGTATATAACTAGTCTGAGGGATTTTTCACAATCTGTCAACAAAACGGCACAACTTATAAAACTTTTATACTGGCTGACTTATCAGAAGGTGGTACCGAAGTCAGACCGCTACTCGCTCTTTAAAAGAACATTTCAAAGAAAATAATCCAGCACTTTGTAACATTACTGAAACCTTTATTGATGATCTTACATGTACTGAACAAGGCCGTTATAGTGCAAGTCAACAAGGCGAGGAGTTATTACAGAAGTCCTCGGTGAGTAAAGTCAGAGACGCTATGGAAAATTAAAACCAGATATTTAGCTCGAATTTGGTTGAACAATATTTATTATTTTTGTAAACTGACATTTTGAGTAAACTTTAATACAAGTGACTTTAATACCCTGAACTTAGACGTGGCCTGAAACGTCCACGTCCGTGTCTCATTAATATCTTTGCACCGTCTAGCATAATAAGTCTAACAGTTCCGGCTGTAACAACCTTAACTTCAGTCTCTATCCAGCCCTGCAGGACAAGAAAAACATGAGATTTACAGATCGTTTTACATTAATGGCTCACAAGATGCATGACAACAGCTAAAAACAAAGAATCTCCAGCAGATGTGTGATTTAATAGGTAACCCTGTGTACGATATAGTTCTAGCATCACTGTCTGCCGTATGAATGATGAAACACTACAGACACCTGGGGTACGCACCTCATATGAATGTACAGAAGAATGTGCATTGTAGTTTATGTTGCAGGGCTGCTGATGTTGTACTACACAAATACAGATGTGGGAGGATGCAGAGGAACGTGATGATTTTAGCTGATACAATATAATGATGATAATATATGTTCACATTATTCTGAATAATTTGAGTGGAAACCAGCTCCCACTGACACGATACAATGAACTCGACAGTATTTCTCATTCACATGAAGAGATTGCTTTAGCTTTGAGGTCTGTGTCATAAAGTTTAACGGAGCGGAACATCGGTGATCCAGGAGAACCGGTGTTTACAAGGAATGAGTCCTTAAACCCAGAAACGAGTTTGTATTTTTGCACTTCCAATCCCCTGCTCTCTAAATGAAAGGGTTAATCCCCCCCCAGCGTTTGGTTTGGCTGCACTTCACAGCAGATTTAAAACAGCCACAGCTCTCCATCGACATCGCCGCCGATAGGCCACACGTTATTGTTCCTTTAGTATTTAGCAGCGCTGCTAACATGTAAACAAAACATGTTCTGCTCTCAATCCTTTGGATCATTGTAACTGATAATCATAATCAATCATCATCATCGTCATAATGATATAAAATAAGAACCAGAAGATATTTGGCTTTTTCTTCACTATTTTTGTATGAAAATTGCTGAAACGATTAATCAATTATCGATCAACTAATTGACTCACCGATTAATCATTAAATGATCAATGTTAGGCCTTTCTAAATATGGTTGGTATTCTCAACATGTGATTTTATAGAGTAAACGATTAATACAAATAAGGAAAATAATCAGCAGATTGCCCCAGGGCCTGACCTGGTTGAAGGTGAGCCAGCATTCAGATACCAGAGAAGCCAGAGTGAAGCCCAAAGTTAAATCACTTATCTGGCTTTGTGAAACAGACCCGTGGTGCTGCTGTGCAGGAACACAACCAGCAACCAAACATCATCGTCTTTATCTCAAAAACAAACATCCAGCAGTTAGTTCTACATCACATCCATCAACACGGAGAAGAAGCCATCTACTGACTACTAAAGCAATAAATCAATTTGAGTGTCTTCTTATTCTCTTCTTTTAAAAATATCACATCGTTCTAACGTAATGGTTAGAAATTGGGAGGAATAAAGAAAAGATGTGAAATAATCTTCTGTATCGAGGGCAAACCTGCAGAGTCAGTAAAACAAGATATCGAAACACAGTACAACGCATTACAGTCTGATGCAATCCAATACAACAGCCTGTAACGGATACTTCAGTGTGAGTTACACTTTACTTACTTGCTGTTTATGGCTGATGATGGTGCTGTTGCATCGGACTGCATTATACTGGAACCCACCCACTGTATTCATGTCTGCCCTAAATGTCTCCTCAGCCCCCAAAGTGCAAAAACAAAACACATTCCCTGAACTTTCAATGTAGAAGATAACGTTAAACGTGTACTTTGCAGATCCCCTTGAAGAAAGCGTACCTGACATGTTTTCATTTGTAGTCTGGCTCCAACAGAAAACTACAAAAACACTCAGACATCTGTTCACTCTGGTCTGACGCTGCTCAGTAACAGCATCTTATGTGAGGTTGTGATTGCCAAACCTGCAATAATCCTCACAGAATTCCTCACAGAAAATTAGCGTTTCTGAAATATTGCAACAGATCCACAGCGAGGTGAGGCAATAGCAGGTCCCTGATCGCTCACAGGAGGGCAGCCTCACCCAGAGAGAGGACAGCGAGAGGGAGGTTGAGAAAGAGGGTGTGAGAGAGAGAGAGAGGATCTATTTCCTGAAACATACTGTTGGCCTCGCTCTGCTTTGCTTGGGGTCGTGACAAATGAAATAAACAAAGTGTGCCAGACCTCATGAGAGGGATTGAACAGCTCAGTGTTTCAGACACACACTGCATGCAGAGGGAGGTTAGATGGGAGGATGATAGCAGTACAGATTGCATAGAGTTAACAGTTAAATATCTTTTGTTTTTTTTTGTAGCTAAGAGGTGCAGCTGTCTATTCCTGCATGCCGTAACTTACACAGCTCCTGTACGACCTCTCTGCTACTGTACAACCAGGAGGACAATCCGTTTGTGAACATGTGAAAATGTACAGGTCTTATAAATAAAAGCAGAGGCGGGCGTCGAGGATGTCGACAGCGAGACGTGCATGTGAGCGGCTGTTCTGGCAGAGTGTTAGCGGCACGCCGGGCCGTCGCGGGGTGAGCTCCACAGTGCAGCCAGCTGTTTGCAGGGCATCACGAGTTTCAGTTCCCGGGCTCAACTCATCCACTGAGGGGATGCAAATCCACTTTGACCTTCTCCCCGCTGCTCAGCATCCCCACCGTGGGGTAGAGGCCACCGGGTGGGACCCCCATCTCCCTCCGGCCCATCAGCTTCCCGTTCCTCGTGAAGAACACCTGGAGGACCACAGGGCGGCGACAGAGAGTTAAAACACACACACGAGCGCATACCTTTCACGGATGGTAATCCACCGACGGAGCATTGAAACAATTACTCGTGAAAGAAATGTCTTTTTCACAATGACTGATGGTTGTACAAACTTAATTTGAGAGCACGCCGTGTGCCAGTTGTAAACAGGAATTATGTGCAGTTAGGAAATATCGTTAAACAAATAGGTGACAGTGTAATGTCTGTGTTCTTGGAGGGGGAAAAAAAGTCAATGTTTATATTACAAGTCTCCACTAAATCAGCCAGTGATCAAACATTATCCAGCTGTTCCCAAAAGAACATCAACACGCTTTTCAATGCTAATACCGAGGGCCTCTTTCCAAGTCTGAGAGCAAATACCGACACACTAAAACAACAAATGAAGTACTGTGCAGTGTGTGTGTGTGTGTGTGTTCGATTAATCAGGCTGAGTCACTTATCAAACATTTACTGTGCCACCCACTCGGAAAAAAAAAAGAAGTAGTTTGGATCTTTTGAAGTGTGGTTGTATGAGGTACTTTGCCATCCACTGCAGGTAATACTCTTGTCTATAGATGTCAGCACGCCCTGAATAGAGTCAGCACACCAGCTGTGTCACACAATGTGTTATTGTGTGACACAGTAGAGCGCGGTGTAACGTTAGCGAGGATCCGGACGAGAGAGAAAGCGTGTGTGATGATGAGTATCGAGGTAACATTTAACCTGTGAACGTAGCACTGCAGTGTGTGTACAGTTTAGGCTATTTGTCAGTGAATGAACGCTACAACTCGTCAAGACTCAAGTTCCCGTGTCTTGCGTGCCACCTGATTAAAAGTGAAGGTTAGTCCCAAAATAAGCGACAACCGTCAGGCTCACTCAAGTGACAAGCCACTGAGTTTTGCACGCGCTTTTGTCATTTTTAATATTTCTTTTAACTGTTTAACTGATAGCATTGACGGGTCGAAATTCTTATTGTCTGTTAACGGTTAATTATTAACGTCCCCAGATCAAACTATGCTCTCTGTGTGTATCAGCGAACTATAATGTTGTATGTTGAAATGTCAACAACAGTATCAAGTTTTTAATCTGTTACAGTCCAAAAATGAGAAACATCTGATTCAAATAAAAAAGTCATTGTTAGCACTTTAATGGTATTATTTAGTACTCATATCTATACTTGGTAACGGCAAGTATGCCTACCCAAATGTAATTATTGGTACTTGGTCTGAAACAAAGGTGCATCCTTAAAACACAGTGTTTATATCCTGCTCTGCATTTGTCCATGTATGTAGAGCCATATAGAGCTCCATTGTAGTTGAATCACTATTGAAACACATCAATGAGCCACATGGATGTAATAAACTCAGACAACAGCTGTTGCATTTTTAGCATGCTTTCTTTTTACAGTTCAAAGCTGCTCTAATCAATTTTTTTCATATTAGAAAGTGATCGAGGTTCTACTAGAAATGTGAAAGGAGACAAATATCACCCGACTCTGCAACTCATCAGTTTTGTTCATGCTCTCTGTTCTCATTAACCCAGCTGTAACCCAGCGATCACCTGCTAGTTAGATAAACTGTTAGCACGTTTACTGCCGACTCACAATTTTACTTTCTGTAAAATGTCACAACATTTGAGTAGGAATTGATACTTGACCTCTTTTTGCTCCAGATGAATTGAGCTGTGGCCTCACTGTTATCGGATATTTCACCAGCCAGACTTTCTGAGCCGAGGTGCGGTTAGCATGAAACATTCATGACGGCTATAAAGTCATGTTTTGGTAGGAGGAAGGCTTGATGAAGCTTTCATTTAAAGCATCTATATTCAATATAGTTTATAACTATAATGCATCAAATGGCGTAATGTGAAAGGGCTAATCATCACCTCACATCAAAACCTTACCGAAGCCAGAAAAAAAACATCTGTTCCATCGAGGAGAGCCTTCAGGGCCGTTCTTTGCTCTTCTTCCAAAGAAGAAATACTCTCCACTTCTGATATAACTGATGCCAATTGGAGCATCAGCGCTAATGTCTTTGGGAACAATTGCCTCTCCGTGTCGCGTCACACCTAAACCACACCCGGAGCTGCCAGTAGCTTCTTTAGAGGACGTGATATCGAGAGAATCCAGCTGACGAGCAAGGTAAGCTTCACGGAGCTGCTTTGCTTCGCTCTCACTGTTCTCATATTGTTGTTTTCGGCCTTAAAACCGTCCGTACGCCACCAAACATCTGGCAGACACAGTTAAGAGAATAGTGAACACAATGGAGCAGCTAAAGAGCTCAGAGTTAGTGGAGCTAAAGTGAGAGTAAATAGTGTCACATTCATCAGGTGGACATAAACATGACTGCTAATGAAAGCTAATGGTGCTGCTAGATGCAGGAATAAGTAACTGTTTGTGTTCACAAGAATACATTTAAAAGGCGATGACGTCTCAGTAATTACAGCTTGCTACGCTGCCCTCTAGTGGCTTCAGGAAACTATTCATTGCGGGTTGATGTTATTTCTTGTTTACCTCATAAAATGCTCATGAATCTCTAACATGCTTATGTGTGTGTGTGTGTGTGTTTGTGTAGCAAATGGTTAACCCAGCTGTGTTGTGTTTTCCTCACCGTGACGTTCCTGCCCTCCTGTCCCTGCTCTACGTCTTCCCCATCTTCCTCCTCCTCCTCCTCCTCCTCCTCTTCGTCATCGTTGAGGTACAGGACGTTCTGGACGCCCGCGTGACCCGGACGGACCTCCATGCGATCCCAGTCGCCCACGTCACCACCTGAGGACGAGACAGAGTTAACAGTGTTAATAAAGGCTTTTATGTGCAGACAGCACATCTGCAGAACAAGTTAATAATTGCCACAACCTGAAATGTTTTGTTTCGTTCCAAGGACATAGTTAATGTTAGATAACTTTAGCTGTCTATTTATCTATCTCTCATTGAAAGCGGTGGTGGAAGAGAATTTCCCCTTTTCAGTGTCTGTTCGGCTTTGGGTGCGGGGGAGCTTGGTTTGCATCCAGTTTCTTTCCCAACGTGCAACACAATGAACTCCACTAAGACCGACCGTCGCCTCACGCTAAACCACGATAAGCAGGTTTAAGAGCGAAACCTCCCACGGACACACCAACCCCTTGCATGAGTGACGGTGTGATTGCAGCACCCGAACCCTTCGCCCTCACCTTCTCCGTCCAGGATGTAGTCTCGTGGGAACATGATGCCACAGCCCATGATGTCCCCTTTCAAGCAGCGAGGACCAAACGCGTCTCCAACGCCGCTGCCGTGAAAGATCTTGCCATCATCTGTCAGAAGAGGAGGAAACTTTTATTTTTTTAATTTATGTTTTACTCTTTTACTTCAGGATCAGAATTTGTATTTGTTAACCTGCGAGCAGGGTTAGGGTTAGGTTTCCAATAATGTAATTGATTAAATGAATACGACCGGGACCAGACAAGCGGCCGATAATAGATGGGTGGATTATAAAATGAAAAAGGTTAAATTCTTTTAACTTTTGCTCAAGTGGACACTTCTTCAGGCTCAGCGATGAAGCTAGCAGTAGTGACGGTGTTTGCCTCAAGCCTGATGTCACCGACTGAAACTCAGACTGCTGCAGAACAATCCAACTTTCAGTTTATTGGTGTTTGATGTCACCTGACAGCCAACAAACAGATGGTAAACATTTTAAAACTAAAATACCTGCAAGAGAAAATATTTGAGACTTTTGTCGAACAAATTTCAGAATTTTGATACCTTCTAAAACCTTTTACAAGGAAAGCGCACAACTTAAATTCTTTAAAAGCCTTAAATATAGATACCCTGTGTGAGGACATCTTTGTCTCATGTGTCCCGTTACTGAACTTGACTGGACTTGGTGGACTTCACTGCGTCTTTTAATGTGTTTACCACAGCGTGCACCGTGTGTACTCTAAATACAATGTGTTGCTAATATACAGGACATCCTGACATTCCTTTCGGATGATGATGCGTAAAAAAGGTGAAAGCAGCGATCGTAAAAACACTTCTCTTCCAAAAAAAAAAAACCTCATCGACAACATCCAAAAGGAAATCATCAAAACAACACATACAACAGTTGTGCGAGACAACAAAGGAAGAAGAAAAAAAAAAAAAGGGGCAAAAGAAAAACATTGCAGAGTAGCCTGCAGACGAGCTCTCCTCAAGCGAAGCAACGTGGCTGCTGCTGGTAAATATTTATGGAGTTGTCATGGGACCCGTCCAAGGCTCAGGATACTGTTTAAACAATCTCTATCTGAGCACCGGGAGGGAGACGGAGACACTGTATCATTACGGCTCCCATGCGGGCCCTTGTCACAACACCACACACTAGGCAAACAGTGGAGCCACGCCGGCACCGGCGCAGCGCCGCTAAATATAGCAGCGCAAAGGCGGCCTTGGAGAGTGACATGGGCTGGTGCTGGAGATGAGCCGGGTGGGGGGTAAGTCCAGGTTTGGGTCAAAGGATGGAGCCGGTTCACTGGGACTGGAGAGGTAGGAGAAGCCTGGCAGAGACACCAGAGCACCGAGAGCTGTGGCAGGAGGGATGGTCGCTGGAGTTCATCTTCAGAATTGTCACACAGCTCGCTTGCAGATTTATGAAGGTTATATTTATGGAACGATGGGGACAATTGTAAATACCTTACGACTAAATCAATGGTATAAGCCTGTAAATAATCCTTAAATACACGACTGAGGAATTACCGACAATGAATAAAAAAAAAAAAAGCAACACATTCTCCATTTCCAGCTTATAAATGTGAGGATTTGCTGCTTTTATCCGTTTTATATTTCCCTTTATAGTCTTCATACAGTGAATATAATTTATTTAGAGCTTGGACTATTGGTTAGACAATCAAAAGCAACCCGCACACATTGCCAGGAGCTCTGGGAACATATAACAGGCATTTCTCACCATTGCACTTCCAAGTTGGTGAACTCACAAGAGACAGATTTAAAAAACAAGAAAACTAAATCCAAGCAGTTAGGACTTTGTCATTTGTACGGGTCAAGCTCCATAAATGCTGGATTCCACATTTGCCACAATGCACCTCAGTAGTGTTCTCCATTAAACCCTCTTCTGATGATGAGTAAACTGAAGTTTTTAAGTTTAATGAATGATTTGGAATAAATAATTGATGACAGCACTGAATAAACTTCATATAACAAACTATAAGATATAGTAAAATGAGTTCTGGCTGGCACTTACATACAATTATATGTTCTGTTGCTTTTCTTAAGTGTGCTTTGGTGCTTAAAAAGGTTGGAAATCGAGAAAGCCGGCTCAACGTGGAAATCAGCTGTGGCGGAAAAAATGTCAAAATTTGTGTTGGAGACCCCGAGAGTTTAAAATTAGCAGAGAGGTGTTGATCAAAGTTTGGCTCTGAGGCTGGTGAGAGTGCAAGGAGCAGAACATACTGGGGATGGTGTTAATGAAAAAGTCAAGATCATAAACCGAGGAAGTTGTTTGGAAAGCTAACAATGTTAGCGACTGTGACCGCCACCAGGTGCTGGATGTAAGGGAGATCCAGAAGGTGAACGCAGGAGTTTCAGGGTTTGGAGCCGGGCCTAGCGGAGGAGAGGCCCGGCTCTGACTGAGGACCAACACCAGCTGGGGAAAAGAAAACAGACATTCTCGTAACATGAGAGTTTGTCTGGAAAAGGCTTCCCTGCCCAGGGAACAATGACTTCACAGACTCCTAAAACATGAAAATATAAAACTAAATATTGATATTCTTCATGTGAGTTGTCACATGTTTATAAGGATTGACTGCACATTACATTTTTATGGGCCAGTTTGCCAGTGAGGCCCAATTAAAAGAAAAAGAGTATTTATGAACTATAAATTAAAATCTCCGGCCAGAATGAAGTAGCGCAGCGAGAGGGGCAGGTTTGCTGAGCGATGAGGCTGCGAAGGTTGCCCTCGTCTGTAGTTTGAGGATTTGCTGCTTTTCTTTGACTTTTGTGATAATAAATACGGAAATTATTTGACATCATCCGGTGGGCTTTTGGGAAATTGCAAAGGACACGTTTTACAATTTCTTCCCCCTTTTTAACTGTCGTTACTCTGACATTTTACAGACAATAAAATATAGCCCCCTAGTTGGTTTGTTGACAACCAAGTTTACCACCAAACATGTCGATGTAGATACACCACACGTTCAAACATACCGGCAGGGAGAGTGAAGGATTTATTCCCTTTAGAGAGATGTCAAACAATGCCACATAGTCTCTGGTTCCAGCTTTTCTATTGTCAATAGTTGCGGCTCTTCTTTGTTTTCCATGATAGTTAACGGAATAACTTTTGGAAATTGTAATGTACTGTAATGTAATTGTGCAAGTAGTGGACCCACATGGCCTACATGCTCCTCTTAGATGTGTGTTTTCACCAGACGCTGTTTGTGTCTGTAAGTGTCATAGAGACGTTGTCATCCAAATCCATTTTTGTCCCATTAGGTAAGAAGGTAACACAATCCCCCCTACACAACATGTTGGTGTTGAATAATTGTTTTTGCAGAACCTGAGCTGGAATCAGATTAGACCCCGTCAAGGAAGTTAGACTCAACCCTATTATGTGAGGTTGGCTTGGTGGTGAGGGATGGAGGGCGACGGCGGTGGTAAGGCACAACCTTGGGCTGCGGGTGTTGAGTCATAGCACGTGTGACTCACTGATGGTGGGGGGGTTTAGAGGGGGTGACATGGTTAATGAGGCTTGCTGAGGAGCACTCGCTGGTTGGATGGGTGGTTGCTCCCGATAGGGCCCGCAGGGGCCCACAGCGCCCCACGGCCCATTAACTTGCGGAGGCAAGCCGAGCCAACACACGGGATGGAGGTCCGCACTGGGCCGGCTCCCAACACAAACACTCGTGGTAACACCAGCGCAGGCCAGGGAACTCTCAAACTATACAAGCTATACAAAGGAGCAGCGATATGGTTGGCAGCCATTTGTGTATATAACTGGAATATATCTGGAGTAAAAATCACAACCTTTAAAGGCAATAATACACATCACATGTGACCCAGGTCAACACTGGTCGCGTGCCCATTACAACGGACCATATACTGTATCATCATTACAGAAATAGTAGTCAGTAGTCAAGCTTACGTGCAAAGTATAAATAAGAAAAAGGAGGAATGTTGAATTGAATCATTATGGAATTTATGTATTTGCCTCCAAGCTGCATAATATAAGACTATCTACAGCCGCTGTTTTCTTCAAAGCTAGCAGTAAAAACATTACAAACACTCACGGTGCACTAAGGACCAGCCTGAGGTCTTTAACAATAACAGTGAGTCCATGCAAAGCTCAGGCCTGCCAAGAATGTCCTGGAAGATATTTGCCCCTTTAAAGATACTGAGGTCAAATACAAAAAACGAGCCATAAAAGTTAATAAACTTCACACCATTCTTGGCTCGCACTGAGCAGGAAAACCGAGGTAACAAAGTCATTCCTTCTGTAAGCAATTTCTGCTGCGGTCGTATGACCTAGTGCATACAATACTGTGTATACATTAAGTTTCTGTCACTCTGCCAAAAGAGCGTCTGCGTGCAATTCGTGAGGTTCCTGAGCTGTTCGGTGAAAAAATCTCGAGGAGCGCGGGGAGACGTGAAGAAGAAGAAGAAGAAGAAGAAGAAGAAGAGGAGGCCCCTGGCTGTTGATTTTAAGTAGCTGGATCAGAGCCTGCACCTTAACCCAAGCATGGGGAAGGCAAACCTCATACACACTGCGTGGAAAACCACATACATCATTTTAGTCTCTAACAAATAAGATTAATGGGAGCTGTGCTGGGGCGTGCACATTTCTGTGGTGTCCAACGCGCAGCGGCCAAACCAGGCCGACCGCAGCGCTAGACCTCTGGTGACTGGCCGCGTCCGTCACTCAGCAGAGAGGTATCATCCGCAGACCCGGCAGGACGCGCAGCATCAACTGTTATTACTATTAATGCATCCTAAGTATAAATGGAATCTGCAAAGGCATATGTGGATTTAGTATTATAGTATTTAGACTATAAACATCCACTCGAAATATGAATGGAATGTGCAGAGTGAAGAAGAAAGTGTGTTTTGATAGCTGATTTGGAGGTCGGCTAGAAGGAAGTATATGAACCTCCCTCTAAAAATAAAGATCATACTCACTGCCTGATGGAAGAACGTACAACAGAGAGTGAGATTTGTGGTGTGTGTGTGTGAATCATTCAGAGTCAGAGCTTCACAAATCCCCTGTGAGAAAAAATTAACAGCGGGTGCTTGCTTCAGACCAAAACAATGCTGATAGAAAGCCAGCTAACTTGATAAGGACGAACAAAATCTCGACTGTGACAAGGTGGATTGTCAGATAAAGAGCCGGCTACCAACTGTAGCTCATACGGTGTAATAACAACCACCTACCCAGCATGCCCCTGTTCTCATATCACTTCAGCCGCGTTTGATAATGACGGGTGCTGAGGCCTGGAATGGGAGTTTTGTGCAGATATTGTTCCCAGGCCTGTCATCACAAACAACCAAGACTTTACATGTGTGTGTGGAAGCATAGAAAGATAAAGATAACTAAACATTTTGTGTCATGTTTGTTTTTGGGGTGTGGGGGGGGGTTGTTGCTTAGAGAGATATATCAACATGACCAAACTCCCACAGAAAGAGACCGAGATAAGATCCTTCTTCTTCTTCTGATGCTGTCACCGTCTGCTTTTATCTGCTTTCTGGGCTTTTTATCTGCCTGCAATCCTCCTTGATCTCTCTTAGTGCTAGGCACCATAACATCCAGCTGAGGCGGTGCCCTGTGATGTTTGCATCTAAAAGCAACAGATGCTTTAAAAATAAGTAGATCAGATTCATGGACATCATCCGAACAAAACTACCACACTCATAAAAGTTAATAGCAAACAACCTTCTGTCTGAGAAATGAAAAGAGAAGAAGAGAAAGAGAGAATGTGGGCTTGAAATCTCACCAGCGTGGTACGCCACCGATCCTCGGCTCCATCCCGGGTGTCTGTTCCTGGGGTAATCCTGCACAGACACAAACAGTTACACGGGTCACAAATACATGTTTCCACAGTTATGAATATGATTGATTTCAACTGGGCAGGTTTTTGGAGAGTGTGCAGGTTATATTTGGCAAAAAGCTGTATCAAGATAATTTCACTGACCACCAAGTCAAGTCAATCTCTGTTTTTATAGCTTAATATCACAAATTTGCAATCTTTACAATCTGTTCAAAAGTCACCCCTCTATCTTTAGAGCCTCAATTTGCCGTTGTATGCCCCCGCCAACCAGTCAAGTAGCAGTTGACATCCATGTTTGTCCAAAATGGCATTACTTAATCATTTTCTATTAAACATTTGTGTGAAATTGTCATAACTAGGATAGAAATTCTTGAGTTACGGCCAGAAATGTGTGAGGCCACATTTACCTTTGACAACCAAAGTATAATCGGTTCATCCCAGTGGACGCTTGTGCTAAATTTGAAGCATTCCCTCAGATTAATAAGATGAATAAACTTTAACAGGGAGAGGAGGAACTAATCAAGACAACACACACCTCTTTAAATGAGTCTATTTATAAAAAGGGTTTCATGTAAAGACCAGTAGTGGAAAGTAACAAAGTACATTTACTCAAGTACTGCACTTCAGTACAATTTTGAGGTACTTGTACGGGCGGATCTGGTCACTGGTCGCATGTTGATAACCCGTTTGAAATAAAAGAAAATGAGCTGAGGATCGAGACTCACTCACGGTTTGGTCTGGCGATGTCGGGCTACTCTCAATCAACCCCAACTTGATAAGAAGCCGGTTAAATGTGTTGTGACCAGTGCAGTTTTAAATCATGTTACGAACGTTAACATGTTCTTAAGTGTGAGGATTCCTTTCCCGCTCTATTTTAGATGTTGGTCAGTAGCCAGCTTTCCATCCAAATGCAAATAATAACCAAATATTGAGAATATCAATATGAATGTTGTTTCCATCCACTACCGCTATGTTGTTATTAGCAGTAGGTGACGCCAACTCTGCTGTTAAAAAAACCTGATAACATTGCAGAAGAAGAGGATGCAACAAGATGACGTAATAAAAAGAGCACGAGTCCGAACCTCGGTGGAAAACAATGTAGAACACTGGATGGAAATATGACATTTCTGTTTGTTTAATGTATTAATGTGAGGAAGGTTACATCAGATCTGTGTGGAGCGATGTAGGGACCGCTTTGATCTGATGCTAGTTTTTTATTTGTAGCTTCAAATGGGTGTTGAAGTCACGTTTCATGTACGTCATCATTAATTCGCTAAATCTGTTTTTCGAATGCAACATTTTCATTCCAAATGCATTGCATTTTGCTTTTATCAATACACAAACCTTTCCACCTCAGCCAGGCACACAAACTTTTTTGCACAAATTTGCAGGAAAACAGGTGGTTGGAGACACACCTAGTGTTTCTCTCCATTTGTCTGTCTGCATGTACAGTATGCATGAATTTCTCCAGGTTTCACCATGCCAAAAAAAATAACTAGTGGGCCAACCTTCAGATAAGATCATAGCATGACTCAGAGGTAATTACCTGAGATTTCTATCTGTCGTCTGGGCTGCACCTACATAACTGTAGAAACACATTACTGAACAAGAAAGGAAGGAGGAGAAGGGCAATGACATTACGCTCTTCTTTCATCTCTCAGTGGGCTAAATCTTCTATGTGCTCTCTTGTTCACATTCTCTCTCAGGTGAACTCTCCCTACTGCATTTATTTTTAGCTAGTAATAACATGTACTTCTTGTCTCAAAAATCCCAAATATGACCAGGAGGATGTCCAAAAAAAAAAAAAAGGTCAGCCTGGGAAAAGTGCTATAATCCAAATAAAGAAACATCCACTGCTGACATTACTCAAAAACGAAACAGGGCCGCTGAAATGATCATTATTAGCATCTGTGCGCAGGAATAACACTGCAGACAGACAGCTTGGTCAAGCCAGGCAGACAAGAGTGCAGCATTTGAGGACAGGACATCAGGGAAACATCAACGATCCTGTCTGACAAGCCCATTGGGTCTTGAGGAACAGGAAATGGAGATGGATGGAGAGGGAGAGGGAGAGAGAGGGAGAGAGAGAGATGGACAGAGTGAGACATCAGCAGAGAAAGACAGAGAGACATGGAGGAATGCAGCTACTCCTCCAAGCCTGAAACCCCTTGATCCGCCAAGTCTGCTCCTCTTCCCCCTCGTCTCAACCACAAGCCGGAATGATTCCTCTGGCTGACTGACATGTGGGCTGAATCTCCACGAGGAGGAGAGGAACGTCTGGCTATTCTGCTCTCTGATTGATGATCCACAGATGATCAGGGCCCTGTTTTAGAAAGCAGGTTTAGTGAAAAGTTAACCCTGAGATGGCGGAAACTCTGGGTTTTCAGTTCCAGAAAGAGAGTTAACTTAAACTCTGGGTTCAGCTACCATGGTGTGAACAAATCCTGAGTTTCTCTCTGTCTCCTACAGAGCCAGGAACGCTGTTTCATTACCTCGTTCATTCAGTCCGTATCAAAGCGTATTGATTAGCAGAGGTTTACTGTATGTCAGAGTCTACATCCTGGTTGGATATTAGTTTGTTACACAGGAAAACTTGTTGAGCTCCATTGATGACGCCGTTTTTCATTCACCACGCACAAGCTGAACTCAGAGTGAACAAACTCCGGTCAGCTGTTCTAGAAACAAAAACTTTTCCATCTCAGGTTTGGTCAACTCAGAGTTCAGTTTTAGGCTCAAACTTTTTTTAAACCTAATTTCTGAAACAGGGCCCAGATCAGTGATATGGAGGAACACTCCATGTCAGTCAGTCGACCACGTTGGCCACGACTGAAATCCCTCAACAACTGTTGGACGGATTGCAATAAAAGTTTGTACAGACGTTCATGGTCACCAGAAGATGAAACCGACTGACTTTTGGTGATCCTCTAACTTATCCTCCAACACATATATGTACAGAGTAAAACTGTTGGGTGGATTGCCATACATACATCTAAATGTAGTTATTTAGTCCTCATTGAAGGAACCTTTTCTCTTATAATGTTGAATGTCAAAACGAACTATTTGAAAATACAAACTAGTATCTTAGATAAGAGGCCAAAAATTAATTACGTTAGAACCAAATAACTGATTGTATTTATTTCCTAATCATACTTACAATACTTGGAGTGACATTGTTCCTTTAATTTGATATTTTTCCTTTAAGTTACTTGTCTAGCTACAAACAAATGACACATCTGCTGGTCACCGTCCTCACTAAAGCGGACAGGGAACAGTCAACTGGGCACAAACTACACATTTTTGTCTTAAAATGAATTTGACAAACTGCAGCTGCTAACATTGTAATTCAAGAGTAGAAGAGAAACATCCAAAACATCACCACGATATCTTTTCTGTATTTTTAACCAAATAGTTAGCATTCATTGTGGTACATAGGGGCCGAATATTTTCATACAGGATGTCTTAATACCTGAAGAACAATTTGATGGTGTAAAAATAAGATTTCTATCTTCTTTCTCTTCTCAGTGTGAATAATATTATTTTTTTCAGCCATAAATTCTGTGAAGCACAGATCATATTGTTTTGTGGGATTTGGAATTGGCTTTCACTGTGATAAAAGAAACATTCCAACCTATTGTGGTTTGGAAATTACAACAGTTAATGCTGCGATTTCTGTTTTTCAATCAGTGGTGGCGCCACTAAATTACACCTACGCTCCTTCTCTATCAACATATGATGGAATGTATCTTAGAGAGGGAGCACCGTGTTCACCATCTGGTCCACTATCATGTACTGTAAAACTCTCGAAACATGGTCGCTAGCCGCCTCCCCCCCCCGGTTGGCCTGCAGAAGCCTTCACTGAAACACAAGCTGCTTCTAAGAACAACAAAACACTGGCGTCGAGTCGGTACGGCGGAGCAAAGCCCTGCAGTATCAGATCCACAGCTGCTACACCGGTGTCAACAGAGCAGCCTGCATTTCCACACGGTGGCAGAGTAAACAAGTCTGGGGAGAGTAAGAGCGGAAAGGTGCGGGCCGAGTGGGGAACCGTGTGGAAGCAGATACCCATCATCTACAGCAGCTATCACATACAAATATGAAGTACCACAGATGTGAGTGTATGGGTGTGTGTGCGCGTGTGTGTGTTGAGGTGAGGAGGGAAAGTAGTGGGTTTCTGTTTGTACGTGCCCACACAACCTCAGCTATAGGGGTTTGGCAGAAACTGTGTAGGGAACTAATGCAGGTCTGTTTGTATAACCTCGCGTCATCAGACTATATCCTCCAGCTCCTCACACGATGACACAAAGAGTCTGAGTGAAGACAACAACAGGCCATCTATGTGCATGTGTTTAGGCATGTTCATCACTTTTGAATGGATGCATACAAGTGCATATGGAAATGTTGTCTTGATACAGACACATACAACTGATAAAGTTTGTTGTGGTATTGAAAGACGGAGTGATCAATGAGCTCTCTAAAGGCCGATCAGAAGGGTTGATCGGATGACACCAAACCTGCAACATATACGGGGCAAAATTCAAAGCAATTACAGCAAGTGAACCAAAACACGCTGCAACTACAAATTATTTTCACTATCAATTAATATACCAATTACTTTCTCCATAAATAGATTAAATGTTCCATTTAGATGAGTCTAATTCCATGTATGCCAAAGAAAATTGGAGAGGACGGGAACAGCAGATGTTTAGCAAAAAAGACTAAAAACAAAATCACTCGATACCGAAAGTAGTTGGGGATCAATTTTCTGTCGATTGTCTAAATCTTGCTGTTCTAAATAAAAGTTACACCTCGTACATTATTACTGGGCTGCTGGTTGCTGTGTGTTCTGCAGCTTCCAGATCAGACCTTGGCACAGTGACCGGTCTTTGGTTTTTATCCTAAATTGACCCCGTTAGAATATACAGGTTCACAGGAGTAGCACTAAAAAGCTGTTAATAGGACCGCTGTATCACAGGAGGAAGAGGAAAAGAGCTGTTCCCAGGACCG